AAATCGAGAGTAGTAGAAGCTAAAAAATTAAAAAGTAACCATTATAACGATTTTTAAAATTGAACATATTCAGAATGTAGTCCATTACATATTTGAATAGCTAATGTTTCATCATAATAAGGTGGTCTTCCCGTGGACATAATAATACCTCAGCAATTGTGTATGGTTGTCCACATAACACTTCTGGCGCAACATAAGGTTAATAATAAGTGTTTGTTATACTCACCTACCAAATTAATGTGAACAAAATGAATGAGTTAGAATGGTATATTTTAAATACTTAGATTAATAAATGTGACGGATTAAAATGAAAATGAAATATTGTACAATGTAAAAAAAATAGACAAGCTAAAAATTTTTGAAGCACATTTTTTGGGATTAGGGATTGAGGTTAGAGGTTATTTTTAGAGTAGAGTTTATAATAAACAAGTATAAGTGTGTTTTAGAGAGTTAAATAGAAACTCTCATTTCATTTTAATCCGAATTCATTATGATCCGCGACATTTTATATCAAAAGATATCGAATTAATTTGTTCAAGAATAAAGCTTAAGATTTTTATTGGAGGATTAATTTATGACAGGATAAAAGAGAAGTGTGATAGTTAAGTCATAGAATAATTAAACTATTTTAATTGATATGGTTTTAAAAACATAACATTCTTTAATATTTTTTTTAGGTGGGGCAAATCACCTTAATTTTTTTATTTGTTCAAAAAAAGAAAAAATTCCCAGAATTTTTGTCATTATAATGTATTAATGCTTATTTGTTAAAATCAAACCTTATTTTTTGTTAAGTCTGAGTTGTGTTAGTGCTTTTTTTCGAATATATAAACTATACATGCTTAATTAAAAATATATATTATAATTGAATGCATTACAGCATTAGGCAAAAAAAAAAAAAAAACAAACCACATCATATTCAAATTATAGTGTTTTTTTTTTTTTTGTTTTTGAATGATGGAAGAAAGATGCAAATTAAGACTATTGTCTCCAAAATTAAATCTAATGATCTAGGGAAGAAAACGCGTTCGCAAAAGCCAGACTTATTTTTGATGTGTTGTGTGTGTAATTCTAATTACAAACGAACGGATTTAATATTTGCAACTACCTCTAGAAAGATATAAAAAACATTTGTATCCTCAGAAAGGTAATGATAGAAAAAATTTAAAGTCTCAAGAAAAGTTTCTATAGTTGTATATTACAGTATAATGTTATTTAACTTCAGTGGATTTTATTACAAAACCATCGGTACTTCCTTCACCTATAATTTCTTCACTCAAGTCAGAAAAATTTAAACTAATTTGTTGAGCAGGTGAAAGGTCTAGATTTATATATGTCGATGTAATATCTGTCTCAAAATTTGCATCAACTGAAGAATTTCTGCCTAGGCTTTTAATATCACCCGTAAGATCTTTAATACTATTTCTCATTCCATACTGTATTGATTGTTTGGGCGATAAATGCACTGGTGAAATGATTGTTGGCCATTTTACCGACACTGGATGTTTCAATGATGAACCCCTTTTACCCCCGTTTAGACTATTCGAATCCGATGCATTGATACTCGAAAGTGACGGATTACATATTAATGGAGTATCTGAATCAGCTGATTCATTTCTCTGATGAAATGATGTCCTACTATGAGAATTGGCCGAAGTGAAGACCGAGGTAGTTTCGATAGACTCTGTAGATTGGGATAAAACTTCGCCATTATCAATATTTATGTTGCATTGTTGTGTTTGAGTTTCTGTAAGTGTCAAATTTGAAAGTGTTGGATCATTTCTATCGGAAATTCTCATTTCACTTCAAAAGAAAAAAAAAAAAAAAAAATTAGTTTATAATTTATAATCATTTTAGTCAAAATTAATCAAAATTATTAATTAATACGTACCCGTAAGCAATACCAGCCATGACACTAACATTTAATAACATTGGCATCCAATTATCTAATATCGAAATCATTTTGCTAACTATCAAATTTTCAAATATCGCTTGATGATAGAATGCGAATATTCCTATTATTAGACCCAACATTATGAAATTAAGAGTAAAGGCAGTATGTAAAATGCGCATCTACATTATAAGAAATTAAATAAAATTTTAATAACTTTAAAAATAGTAATTTATGGTAAAAAATTTATTTAAGAAAATGAAAAAAAACCTTTAAAAGAGCTCGTTTCAACTGATCATGTTTCAACCCGAGATGATTACTAAAACTACTCCCTCTTCGTGTAGCAAGAGAAAATCTATATCGTTTTGAAGATCTTGGTGTAGTCGAATAACCATTTACTCCTTCTAACAGACGCAATCCTTCATTTGCAATATTTATCAACTTCTTTCCATAAATTACCAAGCCGACAACTATTAAAAAACAACTTATGGAATAAGTCGCAAAATGAATTACAATCAAAGCTTTAATTGTATTTTGCTGATCTGAAGTTGTGCCTTGTCGTAAATAGCCGGTAAAAAATGCGCACGTGATTACTATGGCAGTGACAAGTACTATAAACGAGGTGTAGACAGAGACTATGCCTCTGAGAGTTGGTAAATGTAATGAAGGGTTATAGTGTGGGTTTTGTCTGTAGAAATGCATACGTGGAATTGTTCGAAGAATGCTTGCTAAATAAGTTGCCACAGATATTAATCCAAGCAACCAAGTTAAATCAAAGAGCACTTCTCGAACGATTATGTTTTCTGGTAATATGTTATATATTAATATTAGGGAGAAGACCACTTTGACTATATATGAGAGTTATAACAAATGAATTAGCGAATTAAAAGTTTTTAACTTAATGTTATATATAATAAAGAAATTTAACATACCACCACTCCAAAGAACTTGAGTAAATAAGAAACCCTCCAAGGCGAAAAAGCAATTTGATTTAAACAATTTTATGTTTGGCTTGCTGCATAAACGCCATAATAGTAACCAAATTGCACTTAAAAAGACGAATAATGATAAGTATATCGTCACTCCATATACTACTTGAAAGAAATATTCTCCAACACAGCCCGTAACATTAATCGTCCATCTAGATCATTTTATAAAGACGAAGGATAAAGATGAAGATGAGAAAGTTAAAGAATTCAACCAATAAGAAAAGTTTTTTATACTTACTCGCAATTAGGAAAATATTGGGGGGAGTCCATAGCTACGGCTATGATTAATAAATCACCAATTTGAATTACGTATGTGCGTACGTTTTTTGGTATAGGAAAAATTGAGATATGAATGTAATATATATACAACAAGAGCTTTACAAAAATAGCTCTCAAACTTTGATTATACAAGAAAGGAATATTATAAAATAAATTATAAATGTATTGAATATTGAAATTAAAACCACGATTATCACTTTCGATTTTTTTTATATTTTTATTTTTGAACAAAAATACCCTCGATTA